AACAAGAGCGAAACTGGGTCTCAAAAAAAAAAAAGAAAAAGAAACAAAACAACAACAACAAAAAAACCCATACAAATTTATTCTCTTATCATTCTGGAGGTCAGAAGCCCAACATAAGTTTTAAGGGGCTAAAACAAATGTCTGAAGGACTGGTTTGTTCTGGAGGCTCCAGGTATATAATCCATTTTTTGAATCTTCCAGCTTCTAGAAACTGGCATTTTTTAGCCCCTGGACAGATCACTCTAATGTCTGCGTCTGTCATCACACCCCCTTCTCCCTGACTGACCCTCTCGTCTCTCTAAGGACTCATGTGATTATATGAGGGGCTCATCTCAATAATCCAGGATAAGTTCTTTATCTCAAGGTCCTTAATTTATTCACATCTGCAGAGTTCCTCTGCCATATAAGGTAACATATTCACAGATTCCAAGGACTGGGATGCGGATATCTCTGTGGGGCTATTATTCAGTCTACCCCAAATGTGCACTCCTCCCCAAAGTATTTCTCTTTGAGCACCAAGGGGAACTCTGCCTTCGGCTAAGGCTACACAACTAGCCTGATGGTGAACTGTAGCAACTTGTAGGCAAGGGGTACAGCTCAGGGCAGCTACCCCTCCCTCTTCTGGGGCCAACCTGGAGGAAGTTCCTTCCAGAGTCCAGGTTATATTGCTTCTGGCCTGCAAATTCCTGAGAATTCTTTGAAACCTAGGAGGGGCCTGGGTATTATGCCCTTTTGAGTGAGAATTCAGAGGCCAGTGGAATCAGGGCAATCAGGCATTTCCTGATCATCTACTATGCTCCAGGATGCTGACTTGGAGAGGTGAACAAGGCAAAATGCCCATTCTGACGGCACTCAGAATTTCGCAGGGAACTGGAAGGATAAATGAATCTGGGAGGAACTGCTAAACCAGAGGAGAGGATAAGCTTGTTAGAACCTGAGAAGAATGCCGTCTGAAAAGGTAGAGAAGTCAGGAGAAGCAGTGAGGCCCTCAACCGTGTGTATCACAATGCCTCCTGTCACTTCCTTTCTGAGCTTCCAGTACAAGCTTCTCCGTGGGTGTTTTCTGCCCGAGCACCTGAACTTTGGAGACCTCGCACTTTGGACAAAGTCCCTGGCCCTGACACTTAATAGTTTTGGGAACTTGGGCAAAATACTCAAAGCTTCCTAGTCTGTAAAATGAGAATGATGAAACATCTGCCTTCCTTGCAGGATTGTTGTGGTGATGTATAAGACGTAAAATACGAAGCACAGTCAGCAGTCACTGAGCTTAAGGAATGTTAAGTTATAATCATTATTTCTGAACTTTGGTGCACAATACGACCCTGTTGACACCTCCTTTGCCTCCTTGGGACATATTCTCTTCTGGTGGTCCTCATCCCTTTCCAGCTATCCTCTGTCTCTTGGTATTCTCCTAATCTACTAACTCCCATCAATGTTCCTGCTTGCCCAGAGTGCCTGTCTCAGCCTTCTTCTTTTCTCCCTAACCCCTGCGAAGATCTCATCAAATTCCCTGCCTTTCATTTTCCTTATCGATTTGCTGACGGCTTACTGACAAGTATCTCCAGCTGAGACCCTTTACTGATTAGAGTAATAACAACTGGTGGATGTGTTCTCCTAGATAGAGAACAAGAA